GAGGGGGGCTGTGGTTTCCCATTTCCCAAACCCCAGGCGCTCTGAGCCCATCAATAATTCAGGGCTCTGTAATGGAGGCTGGGGATGCGGGCGCCGGCTCAAGGGCATCGGCAGAGACCGAGCCATTAGGATGGTGATGTCATCTACAAACAGGGGTGGGAGGGCTAGCAGCCAGCCCCACACACATGCCAACCATGGGGGGGGGTTGTTTCTCTGAGTCAAGACCCGTATTACGCTACCCACACCTAAGAATTTGCAAACAGGCGAGGGGAGAGGCCTGAGGTGTGTGTACCCCAGCCGGCCAAGAGTTGTGCACCCCAACGCAAGGGAACCCGAGCATCGTTCCCTCTGCTTCGCTCCCCTGGCACTGCAGGCCCTTTACAAACAGACACCACCCTACCCACCCACCCCACACACGAAGTACCAGTCTCCAGGCAACGGGCAACAGCAAGGGAGACAGAAGCTAAAAATAAACTGGAGGAAGAGAGAAGAGACAGCATGAACTGGGCAGCCCCCCCAAGAGGCAGCCCCAGGCACCCCGTTAAGCGGCGGGGACCCAGGCCGTCCGAGGAGGCCCCGTTCGGTGGCACAAAGACTTGACCACCGATCGGATGCTCGCACGGGACCCCCCGGCATGAGCAGCAACTACCACACTCTCCTTGTTCTCCAGCGTCAGCCACATCTCCGTTCCACAAGGGGGGGCAATGTGAAGTTCTAGGGGGAAGCCAGCCTCCTTTCGAAGCGCTTTGCACAAGACCAGGGAGAGACTCGGAGTGAGTAACTATCCAGTATGCATCATGCACGAGTATCTAAGGCCCTCTCTTAGGGAACGGGGGACGTAGAAGCTTCTTCAAACCAGGTGCCACTTTTTTTGGGGGGGAGAGGAAGGTTAGGAAAAACAAAAGACCCCCCCCATGCTTCCCCCACATGCCCCATTTCTTTTTCTTTAGGTTTTCATATATTTTTTTTTGGCCTGATCCACGTTCCAGTTCTGCCCCATCTGCCCCAGACTGGGTGGATTCATCCCATCTCCCAGTTGGGGCGGGGGGCAGGAGAGAAACAAGCACGCCTTGCTCCCACTCCTCCCCCGGGCTGCAGCATCTGAGTCAGCCCCACTTACACACACACAGGCCTGTTCTCGCTAATTAGCAAGGCGGTGGGGGAAACGGGGGGGGGGAGAGCTGTGACATCAGCCGCCTGCCGAGATCCAAACACAGTGTGCTGAATGGGCTACTGTTCTCTGGCTGGTGCTACCAGATACGCTGGGTGTATTCTCCAACCCCTACCCCAGTGGAGTTCTCCCCGGGTATAACAGAGAAAGAGGAAAGCGCGTGCACGCACACACACCCTGGGTTCAGAAGAGGGAGCAATTATTCCAACACTCACATGATGATTACAATCAGGGCATTCCCCCCCTTTTACATGTACACCCCGGAGCATCTCCGTATAACCTTCCAAGTCAAAAGACTGCTGTTTTGCACAGCTAGGAACCCTCGGCTTCCCATAACTCAGTGTCTTCTTCTTAAGGATGTGTGGCTGTGAAATAGGATCAAAGGTGGATAAATGTCAAGTTTTGGCCGTTATAAGAATTCTCAATCGCAGCTGATTAAATGGGAGGTCCGCCAGGTACCGACCAGCACTCAGAGATGCTACCCTAGGGTTGGACCAGACCAGACTCAATGCCAGGTGGGATACAAAGCTCTACAACACCACAACAAGCCTTGTTGTAGAAGAAGGGGGAGGAAGTGAAAAGCAGGATTACCGCTCAAACCCCTCCCGCATAAGAATGTTGACTGGATACCAAATTGATGGGATGTATTTCATAACAGGGTCAGCTGCAAAACCCATTCCACTGCTAGTGAAGGATGCAAGCCAATAGAGGGGTGGTGGTGGTATGTATTGCAACTATGATCTGACACCCCCCCACTCCACCCAGAGCTATACAGCATTTTAGACTCTCACCCACTGACACTGTCCCAGAGTAAGGCACTAGGTACATACGTCCTTGCTCTTCTGTCAGGCGTAGGAAGGAAGGAGGAAGTGGAAGGAAGGAAGGCAGTATTGGTCCCACCCCATTGCTCCATCCCTCAAAGGCACAATCCTCTTATCAATACCCACCAACACCCACCCCCCAATATTCCAGCTCTTTTGTCCTCTCACTGATCAGTTTAACACAGTGAGTTAATCTTCCAGTAAAGGGGCTTGATTCAGGTAGCAGATGTTACATTAAAAAAAATGAAAAGTTAGCCACATACACACAACTTCTGCTCTCTCTCTCGCAATTTAAACCCATGTCTTAGAAACCAGGAATCCTGAGATGTAGCTTCTCTCGTGGCCGAAATCCTCTTTTTATTTTCTCTGTCTCTACAGAATAACACGGTGCATCGCCAACTGGATTACCTTTGCTTCCAGGGGGCACGGAGAACCTACCGTGTTTCTCCCCCCCCCAACCTCACGATCTCTCCCCCTCATCCAGGGAGGAAGAGAGGCAGACAGTTCACTAGCCCTATCCCAGGCTCGGCTACTGCTTCCAACCCCTCCAACCACCCACCCTAAAAAAAATTTGCTGTTGCCACCATGTCTCCAGTCAACTAAGCCATTTCACTTGCCAGCCCCGGGGAGGGAGGTGGTAAAAACCACCGTCTGTCGGCTGGCATGGCCCCCAGGCCTGGCATGAACCAACAGCAGCCCCGTGCCAAAGGGTGGAGAGAGAAGAGAAGACGAGACACACCAGCCACCCTATGCCACACAAGACGGGTCTGTACCACCCACGCACCCCGAAGCCATATCCTTTCCACGCGTTCCAAGGGGGGGGAATACTTGTGTGTGTGATCTGATCTTCCCCATCCTCCCACCCCGTCTTTTATGGGTCCCAGATGCCCCACCAAGAAGGCATCCACACAAATGGATTTTCTCTTTCCCACCCACCCCCACCCTGGCGCCCTACAATCCACAGTCGTCTCCGACCAAGAATCCACGTGCCTTCGCGCCAGAGATCCATGCCACCCACCCCACCCACGGTGGGAACAAGCACAATTCTATCCCAGGATCAGTTGTGGGGGGGGTGGAGAGAGAGAGAGAAATACCTCCCACTCTCAGAGCATGCCCCCACAGAGGGACGGAGAGTAATAAGGGGCCATGCTTCCGCGAGAGGCAAAGCACCACACATACAATGCGCGGAGTGTTTGCAAAGTCCAGCTCTGCCTTGCAACTTTCTTTGCAGCCAAACCCGGTCCTCCACGCCCCCCCCTTCGTATTTT